TTTTGGAATTGATTAGATTTCATTTGTCAAATGTATCCTGTGATGATGTGTTAAATGTTACTCTCCAAAAATATACAAAAGTATTAACAGGCGTTATGGGATATTTTACGTTTTTCTTTAAGAGCACAACACGCAGATGATCCCTTGCGCGCGACAGAAGCATCTGCACAATGATCAGCGCGAGAAATACGAAGACCTGAATTCCGAAACTCCCAAAACCGTGGAGGAAAAACATTAGGATAAGAGACTATTACTCTATTATTATTAACTTCCCCCCAAAAATGCATTGCAGGCAGGGGGAAGACAAAGAAGTGGATGTGGAAATAGGCGCGACAGTGTGCTGGCATTAATTTGCTCAATATAAATGCATCTCATTTACAACAGATTGGTTTGATTTTCCATCAGTGTACATGTAAAACACGAGTTCTGGTGTAAGTATATACAAATTTTCTTTTGATTACATGCTCATTTATGCGCGTATGCTTTGTGCTCAAATTTCTAGTTATTTAGGTAATTGGTTAGATTTTGTTTGGTAGCCATAAACGGTGCTGCAGAGGTCGTATTATGATGACGTGTTTGGTGAAAACATTAATTGTAAATTCCCATATTAAATGCAAAGGGTTTTATTTTCTCCTCAACCCATCGCTGGCAATGACAGGCTTGGCTGCCGTTGCCTAGTAACGAAGCGACGAGCCCTTAGTAGATGTGGGCTTCATCAAATCCTGTTCTTTCAACATTAGAAGGTTAAAAAACAATTTTTTGTTATATAAGTGTGTATTGTGTACGTTATAAGAACTAATAATTATATAAACCGTTTTGCCTTTGTGATAGATGCAGGAACAAGAACAAAGGGCAAGACTGCAGCACTTCCTGTCGGAGCTTGCAATACTGGGTTCTTTACAGGTGGGCTTTTCCTGAAGCAATACAATGTACAATTTCATTTTTAATTAAAACTTCAGGACTTTGTGAGGTAATTAAAGCTCATGCCACAGTCTTTTATGTCTGTCTGTAGGGCTTCCATTATTTTCAGCCCTGGCTAAGAGGTAGAGAGGAACTTCTGCTGACTGTGGTCAATGATGACTTGGTGGGATTTTTACTTCTCTGTTTATCTCTTTTTATTTTCTCTCTCACACTTTTTTATATGGAAAAATGTGTTTGAGAAGATGTTTGGAGATGTTAAGTTACAAAGCGCACCTTCAAACATTTTTAAACATACTAGTACAGGTGCATCTCAATAAATTAGAATGTCGTGGAAAAGTTCATTTATTTCAGTAATTCAACTCAAATTGTGAAACTCGTGTATTAAATAAATTCAATGCACACGGAAACAATAAACATAGTCTCAGGCTCAAGTGCTGCTGCATCAGCGTCAGTTATATCTTACAGAGAGTGTTTCTTTGCTCACAGATATGGCGTTCTCCTGGGTTCGCCGTATCTGTGGCCTCCACCTTTACCAGCTCAACTTGCAGTAGCAGTTACAGCCTGGACAGCGACTACGCCAGCTCGCCTTTAGCAGGAAAAGGGCCACTTCCACAACACAAACAAGACGCCACACAGCAACAAACTCCCAGCAGGTGGAGGAAAAAATATCCTTAGACTGTACCAATTATAAGCTAAGTGCTGTATATCAATTATTTTCATTACTCAATTATAGGAATGTTGATTCTCATCTTCTGCCAGCCTCACCCAGTGAGAGAGAGATCGCTGTTCCTGTGAGTATCATTGCCAATGTCAAATTCACAGATTAAGAACATTACCAATCTTGAAATGCACTGGCAATATTAGTTTAGATTGGAGAAAATAAACACTACCGTTCAAAGGTTTGGGGTCTCTTAAAGGGGTCATATGATGCGATTTCAATTTTTCCTTTCTCTTTGGAGTGTTACAAGCTCTTGGTGCATACACCTCCACAGTACAAACCAGAGACACCAGACGCCACACAGCAACAAACTCCCAGCAGGTGGAGGAAAAAATATCCTTAGACTGTACCAATTATAAGCTAAGTGCTGTATATCAATTATTTTCATTACTCAATTATAGGAATGTTGATTCTCATCTTCTGCCAGCCTCACCCAGTGAGAGAGAGATCGCTGTTCCTGTGAGTATCATTGCCAATGTCAAATTCACAGATTAAGAACATTACCAATCTTGAAATGCACTGGAAATATTAGTTTAGATTGGAGAAAATAAACACTACCGTTCAAAGGTTTGGAGTCTCTTAAAGGGGTCATATGATGCGATTTCAATTTTTCCTTTCTCTTTGGAGTGTTACAAGCTCTTGGTGCATAAAGAAGATCTGTAAAGTTGCAAAGACTAAAGTCTCAAATCCAAAGAGATATTCAACCACGCCTACCTAAAATGGCTCGTTCTACCTCCGCATACTCTAGGCCGCGGCTCACTCTAGGCCTCAGGCCTCCGCTCACTCGCGGTGTGTGACGCTTTTACGTTGTGAAAGCGAAACTACTTTGTTTGGCCTTCCAAAAGAGGACACGACTAGAAATCAGTGGTTAAGTTGTATTTACAACACTGTTCCAGAACAGTTTAACCCAAATATTCAGATGTGTCCAGTGCATTTTATGGAGGACTGTTTCCTGATCCTGGTAGAGTAGACTACAATGCCGGCTGTTCTGACTCACAGACTGTAAGTACGTTTTTTATATTTAAAGGATTTGCCACTGACGATTCAAACGCGAGTTTTGAGCAGTGTAGAGTAGCACTTGTTGTTTGTCATTTCTCCGATCACAAATGCAGACATGGTTTTATGTTACGCTCCGGCCTGACAGGGCATCACAGTATGGTAAGGGGCGTAACATTTCCGTCACACGCTTGAGGTATTCGGCCAATCACAACGCACTGGATAGCTGGCCAATCAGAGCACACTTTGCTTTTCAGACCGATGAGCTTTGTAAAAATCGACGCGTTTCAGAAAGGCGGGGCATAGAGGAGAAACAATAATGTAGAGTATGTGGAAAATAATGTTTTTTTTTAACCTTAAACCGCATAAACACATTTCATTACACCAAATACACAAAATAATGTTCTTTTTAGCAGCATCATATGACCCCTTTAAGATTTCTCTTCATCAAAAATACAGTAAAAACACTAATATTGTGAAGTATTATTGCAATTTAAAATAACTGTTATTTTAATATATTCCACAATATTTTTTAAAATAAGATATTAAAACTAAATTTCTGATTGTCATGAAGTGATCAAGGCTCTCAAAATATATTTTTTTTCATTGCAGGAAATGAACTGCACCCTGTTCCTGTTAGCCGGCTATGCCAAGTATGGGTAACCTTATGTCTGGATTCAATCCAATCATAAGCGCCTAGTAAACGTCAGAGGACCTGATACGCTAGTCAAAGATACACCAATGAAGCTGAATTCCATCACAGACTGGGTTTCAACATCCCAAGGTTTTAAGATCATATTTATTTGAAGTTATTTATAACTTTTATTGGCCATATTTTCACAATTTTATTATAAACACTATTTCTTTATGTTCCTGAATCAAAGTTTGGAAACTTTTATCTGCCCTGTAGGAACTCATGTGTGGGACATGGTGAGTAAGTTGGTGGGACTGTGCACAATGCCGCCTCCCGACAACCCCTTCTCTTTGGACATGTGCTACCTCCAAACCCTGTCCCTCCCAGAGTGCTTCCTGGTCACTGGGGCCCTCCTGAATTTCCTGGAGATGATTGTGGTTCAGGGAAGCCAAGAGGAACCATTCTATGATCTGGGTGAGCACAGAGTCTGGGAAATCTATGATCCAAATATTTGGAACGTTCTTTTGTCATTGTGCTCATACGATAAGGGGCGTAAGAAAAACAATACAAAAATCTAAACAGCAAAGTCTTAGGCCTTCTTTGTATATCCTGTGTCTGTTGCATATATTCATTTCGCTGTGGCACAGAATCACTTATTTTTCTGCCAAGAGCCACAGTGGTTACTGGTTTTGGCCTTAGGTTAGATTTTACCATCATCCTCTAATACACTGTATCCCCTACTTTGTGTCGTATTTGTGGAAGAGTTGAAGCCACTAAGACTTCATTTCCTAAGCCTTTCTGAGGTCCAAAGGTTTCAAGGCAGCGACAGGACTCGACGTCATTTACCAACCAAATAAAAATGAACAACAACATCCAAGGGTATTAAACTCCAAAGGATCACTGCTTTTACCATTTGGCCTAAAACTCCAAACATCACAATCTAGAATTGTAACAATTTGAACCATGAACTAACATGTTTGGTTTTCTTTGACATTAAGGAGCATTAATTTATGTATAAACAAAGATGTTTAATAATGACAGCTTTAGACCCACTTAGACTTTAAGCTTCTAAATATCAGCCATGGCATGTTTTTGTGAACCACGAACATGTCTTTGAAAAGTTACGAAATCAGACCAGGAACATTTTAATCCCTCGCATTAAAAGATTTGCACCCCATGACTTACACAGAAACTGCTCCCTCTTTAAGGATCCAATCAGTCCTGAAAATTAAAGTAACAACTGGCTTTTTAAAAGTTAGTGATGTCTTTGTGTTCAATAAATTAATAGAATACAGGACACAAATGTTTTATGTATAAAAAAAAGTTTAATATTCCATAAAATACATTTAATATTTAAATACGTACATGAAAATAGGTTTAAAATAAGGTACAAGAACATTCATAGAACATTAAACACCTCATAAAGCAGACAGAACAGATCCAACAACAGATCTGAGGTCATTGTAGTACGAGATGCGGTTTAATATGATTTTAAATAAAATCCATAAGGATAAAATGGAGAAAAAAATCCTTTGATGTAATTGGCGTAACACATCAGGCAGAATTTTTAATACCATAAGGCACTGACTGTATACTACTGTTATATATGATGTAATTCTTAGTGAGCGTATGTAATAGTGTGAAGGAAATATCCACTTATGGTGCTGGACAATCTTTTCTACTAGGAAATCTTGATTGTTCCAGTCATGCAAAGCAGGGTGTCCTTGTTTAAAATACTTGGTTTATGCAACTAGGCCACTTAAAAATTAGATTTATACACACAACTGCAGTGCAAAGATGCTGCTTTTTCAAGGACATGACGCTCTATGCAAGCATACCTTTGAATCAGTCAGCATTCTGATGTCTTAAGCTGTTGCCTGGAGACAGTGACTTAGTTGGCTTTTTTTCTTTTTAGACAAAAATTAGCTGATGTAGTGAAACAACTTGCAGTTACAGAAAAAAAAGCCTAAAAAACTGCTGGAATGCAGGTGCTTGGAGAGAATATTCTAATTTTAAGTGCACACAGCAATACCACTAACACTATTCCTCTTGATCTGTTTGGAACCTAGGAACCAATGCTTCAAGTTCAAACCTTGAACAACTCAAATGAATAAAAATGGCAAATTGAGGTAGAACCAGGCAAAGCAGGATATGGCTATGATAGACCAACCAGAAACAAGAATCTGTACCTCTGTCTTTCCAATGCTAAATTACAACCAGTGCTGATGATGTCAAGTTGGTATACAAATATGAAGTAAATAATACACCATGAATGATGGTCACATTGAGGGTGTAATATTAATTCAATCATCAGTTACAATGTGTGGAGGATTTGGCCATATGAAAAGGAGCATTGCTTCCTTTGTGTATTTGGGATAGAAACAGTTTTCCAAAGCACTTACTTTGATGTCCTGGTCCTGCTACTGTTTACCATCATGCATCCACCTACTTTCCACACAGATCCTCATCTGACACCTCTAATACAAACAAAAACTGTCTCACTGCTCATCAGTCACATCAACAAACTACCCAGACATGTACTGTACACAGAGGAGGAGACTGACTTGAAAAACTCAACTCTGTGATGCATACATGGCTTTAAAACTAGACAGCGGTTCAGCTCAGATGAACAGCTTTGGTTTTGTCTCATAGTCCTTAAGCAAACTGAGATGACATTTAAACCAGCATGACTGAACCCATCAATTTCCAAAACCAAACAATGATCTCTAGAAACCCATATTTTATCACTTTGGTAAACTGGTAAACTCAAATGCGGTGGCTGTTCAGATACGGACTCTGCACTTGAGTTGCAAACTCTACCAAAGCTCAAAAATTCCATCAGCTGTAGGTGTGGTTGTTCTTTTCCTCACATTCAATGCTGGAAATTCCCAAGCATCACAAAATGAATGTTGTCAAGGTTCAGGGTGGGTTGGTGACCATCAGTGCCAGTTGTCGCTGGCAGAACCTCTGCTGGAAATGGCACGGAGAGGACTGCGGGACACCGACCCCCTCTTCTTCCAACGGACTGCAACACAAAATCCAAAACAAATACAGTTACAACTGTGAAATAGAAAAATAGAACCTTGAGGAAATGTAAAATAATAAAAGATTCTAATGGTTGCATTCATCACACATTTACATTATATTAAATCATTTGGCAGACGCTTTTATCCAAAGTGACTTGTATTCAAGGTACATTTTATCAGTTCATGCATTCCCTGGGAATCAACCCCATGACCTTGGCATTGCTAGCAACTTTCTGTTTGAGCTACAGGAACACTGTACTCATCTGTCACCACTTTGTCCTGCTTCAACTCACCTTTCCCCAGACTAGCTGGCAATGTTGACCCTTTGGGTGCAGTGGGTGTACCAGGAATCTCTGGCTCTTTAGTGATTCCTTCCCCTTGTGGCAAAGTGGCACATCCACCCTGCCAGTCGTTGAGCGCTTGCTGAAACGACATTGCCAGGCAGGCGGTCATGTCCTTTGCCCTTTCTGCCCGACTGCACCAGAACACTCTGCATTGTAGCTGCTGACCGGGCTGCCTGCAGATGTACAGAAACACATTGGGTCTGGCCGTGTGCGAGGCACAGTATGCGATATCCTGCAAGTAGGTCTTGGTGAGCTGTCTTCCAGTGCTTAGTTCTTTAACTTCGACATATCGGGGTCGCACTACCAGGGCGTGATCTTTAGAAAGCTTCCCAGGGGCCCCATCCAGGAGTCGATCGATGGCATCCTCTGCCTGCTCTAAGTCCAGGGAGAAGATCTTCTTGGTGCCAAGGTAGTGCACTTTGAAGAGAGGATCGCCGTGAGACAGGCTCTCTGTGTGGTCACGACGGAATCGCCGACGCAGAGCCGCTGGAGAGTTCTTTAGAGTTTGCATCAGATGGAAGGAGGCCAGGGCCATTGTTGCCCGACTGCACCAGAACACTCTGCATTGTAGCTGCTGACCGGGCTGCCTGCAGATGTACAGAAACACATTGGGTCTGGCCGTGTGCGAGGCACAGTATGCGATATCCTGCAAGTAGGTCTTGGTGAGCTGTCTTCCAGTGCTTAGTTCTTTAACTTCGACATATCGGGGTCGCACTACCAGGGCGTGATCTTTAGAAAGCTTCCCAGGGGCCCCATCCAGGAGTCGATCGATGGCATCCTCTGCCTGCTCTAAGTCCAGGGAGAAGATCTTCTTGGTGCCAAGGTAGTGCACTTTGAAGAGAGGATCGCCGTGAGACAGGCTCTCTGTGTGGTCACGACGGAATCGCCGACGCAGAGCCGCTGGAGAGTTCTTTAGAGTTTGCATCAGATGGAAGGAGGCCAGGGCCATTGTGATAGAAGACAGCGGAGACACTTTTTTTTGGAGTCACAGGGATGTTTCTGCTTATCCAGTAAGCCTCCCAGTGTGGCACAGCTGAGTATAGCCTTGAGATCTGAAGCAAAGAAGGTAGAGAAAGATGTTGTCATGCTCATGAGGTGAAAATCTCAACACAACATGCTCTTTACCCCAAAGAGATATTTACTAGTGTGGTCCAAGTGTTACTTTTCTTAACCATGTTTTTCACTTCATATTTATTTAGCTACACACTACCTTACTGTTTAAACATAAAATGAACCAGAACATTATGTTCTTATGTGGCAACCCGACTGCAGCTGTCTGTCAGCTCTTCATGGAAAAATGGCTACAAATAAATCCACACCCAAGATCTCAGGATAGGATCCATTTCAGTCCAGTATTAATGCACACTTATGCGTTGTCTCCTCCTGCGTGCCGCAGAGGAGCTTCAAATATTAAACAGGCCACATTTGCGTCTAGCAAGAGTGGAAGAACGTCTGTGAGTCATCCGAGACACTCTGCTGGAAAAAGGACAATAACAAACGTGTGTGGGGACATCGAAAAGTACTTTTCCACTTCAATTCAGCAATATTTAACTTTACACCATTTTAAAGGGGCTTATTTATAAGAGTTTGTTCATGTTTAAGTTAGATTTTGTTCCAAGTTGGGATGGATGGACTGATATAAAAATTCTGTCAAAAATGAGCATGCACACAAGTAAATATTCAATACTGATCCTTATAAATAAATATCTAACATCGGCTGATAATCAATATGGTACCAAAATATCATGCAACTGATCAAGAAACTACTCTCCATCTACATTGGCATATGACCTTGCCAGAAGTTCCCAGAAGTTTCTTACCCTGCTTCTTACAGCCCAGTTCAAGCATTTCTCTTAATTATATACTTAGAGTGTTGAAACATGCACATCAGCCATTTCAAACATGCATTTAACAAACCCCGTGTTAACATGCCCTTGAGGGCCTCATTATGCCAAGTCTAAATGCACAGAGGGGTGCTGTAGTTCTGCCTTGCTGAAGTTATGTAACACTTGCGGTTGGTTTTTCTTTTGTCTCGTGTTCCCAAAAACATCTCACTTTTATTCCCACATTGTGCCGGCCATGTGGCCGATACCATTGTGCTGCATTTTATTTTTTCCGCTTGTTCTGGCCCATTATTTCAGCATCCCCAAATGCTTCTGATGTTGGTCACCACTCAGACCTCCAACTGTTTTTAGCTCCAATCCCTATTGTTGAGGAGAAACTTTCTACAGGAAACAGCTTTAGACGTCATCCCGCCACCTTCAAATATTTCTTGTCCCAAAGACAATGGTGTGTTATAGCGTGTCAAGTGAGAAATGCAAACAAGAAAAAACCTAGACTGATCTGATCTACAAGCAACAAGTAGACACACAAACAAGCACATCTATAAGAAAATGACCTTTCCCTTAGAATACCTTTGTGAGCATCTGAACCAGAATGTGCTTTGTGAACTATAGGCCTATGTCTAAAATGGCTTTTTTTTTTTTTTGGATAATCACAAAATTTGTCCAATGTGTTTTGTTGCCTCATTTGCTGTAGAAAGAGACACTCAGATTTACTCACGATAAGAACATTCATAGTCAGATACAGTAGGCTTAAATGTAAAACAATTCTGATGATTATCTTATGGTCGCAGACTAATAATAGAGACAAGCAAAAAACACTGCTTTAAGTGAAAGTCTATATTTACTCAGAGGTCCTCATATGGTCATCCACAACTTTTCAAGAGTTAATTATTACAAACCAGTGCAATTACTTCATAGTGGTTGACTGATCATGCTTTTTTTAAGTAACTCATGCCATTATTGATATTGCTGACTTAAATCAGCCTAACGTTGCTTGCTAGTTTTCTAGCTTGGTTTTACTGGGACTCCGGTCAGGTGAAATGATTAAATACAAATTTAATAGCTGTAAATGATATTAACATGAAATAAACTCTTTTTTTAACACCGTATTTGTTCAGTTGAATAATGGGCCTGGCAGACATCCATCACTAGTTTACAGTCCATCAAGAAAGTCAAATACACAATTATGAAATATCCCAGCTAAAGACCAAATAAGCTGAGACCAGTAGCCACTTTTCAGTGGGTCAGCCTGGAAGACAATCTTAAACTGGTACAACTTAAGGGCGGCAGAACAAATAAATATTATTGTATCAGTGAAAGACTCACCTTTCATGCAATCTTCGCTTTTGGTCCGGCACAGGTAAATCACGCGTCCTCCACAAACAGCTAAATGGAAAGTAGACGTCCAAACAGTCGTACCTTTTGTCACCTCGTAAAACTTTTTTCACCAAAATCGAAATTGTAGCGGTAGTGGCGCTTCACGATACACTAAGACGAACGCGCTGTTTCACAATGTCGGGAGTGGATATGGTTCGAGACAAACGCATGTTCTCCTTGGCGTGTGCAGCGCGGCTCTGCTTACCTTCACTGTACGCTCTGACAAACCGAATGAGTAGCCTGGCGCGCGTCTGCAGCGCTGTATTTGAGCGGCGTGGGCACGCCTCCGCGGGGAGATGTGGGACAACGATGAGGACACGGAGTTAACGAGTGCTGGCAGTGTATGAGGAGGGTGTGGGCCAAGTTCAGCCCTCAGGAAAGCGTCAGCGATGTATCCAAAATATCCAAAAGACAATGCATCTTTGAGCATGGTCGGTGGTAAATGCCACTGGTTGTCAACTGGATATGTAAATGCATGATACAGATAGCATCGAATAATGACGAGCTTGCTGTAGGTACAAAGACTGATAAGGAAACTGCATGTGTTACTATATTTAATAGTTTTTGCTCGTTCACCATGTCTGGTGTGTAAGACTAAAGGTAAGCCTGCACGTACATGTATACAATGTGAGTATATAAAATATAAATTAATGACAAAAGCATTCACAAGTGTGTAGCTTAATTAGTATTAGTAAATTCAAGGTCAAATTTTGACACTTTATTAAACAAACTAACACCTGTAGAGGAAATCGGGGAGTGTTTGGGTGAAGTACCATTATGACCTCCACCTTCCTTTTAAAGCGACAGTACAATTTGTAAGACTTGTATAACATTATAACTTGTATAAAATGTATAACATTAACACAAACTTTTCATCTACATGTTTTAAAAAAAACTAGAAGTATTATGGCTGACCATAACACTTTCTAATGTACTTCTAGCTACTGGACGCACAAAGATCACACAAAATGTGATGGTATAGACCAGTGTTTCCCAACCGGGGTGCCGTGTAAAAAAATATTTTTTAAATATTTTTAAATTGCTAAAATGTTCAAAAAAAGCATCTATTATATAATATCCATTTCTGATGTCTTCGGCTGCCGAAAATTAGTTCACCGCTCAGGTTTCACTTTCACGTGGTGTGAGGCTCTGCGTATTATCCCGCTCTATGCGTGTGCACTCCGCTCAGTCGCTCCACTCGTATACCGTTTATGCTCATCGGAACAGCAAAGTCCACTCAAAAATCTAAAAAAAGGTTGGGAAACACTGGTATAGACAACTGACGCAACTGTGAGAGTGACTAACATGGGTTAATTTAGCAAATTAGCACCAATGCATAGCAAACAACCTTCAAAGCGTTAGTTAGTGGCGTGAGTAATGTAATGGTTAATAATCTGGGCTATTAATGCAAAAGTTGCTTGTTGACTCCCATATGGAGGTGATGCATCACTTGGAGAATTTAACAAGGCATCCTATCTATTGCCATTGTGCCAGATCAAATCACTTCTTAAAGGGATAGTTCACCTTCAGTTGCTGGTCCCCATTGACTTCCATAGTATGGGAAAAAACCACTATATGCAAGTCAGTGTGGACCAGCAACTGAAGGTGAACTATCCCCTTAACCTCAGGGCTGAAGAGACCAGCTGTTTCTGAAATTAGTGAACTCTGCAGTATGTCCCGCATCTTTCCCATTGCAACCAAAGCCTTCACACTGCTGCCCCCTCAAACTGCTACTATTTTGTAAACTGGCTGTAATTAGTTCATCGGTTGCTCTCCTGCACTGATAGTTATGCTACACTGTACTTTTATTGTTTTGTTGTATGAAATTATTTTTGTGCTGCACACATTTATCTCTTTCTATTCCACTACACATTGGTGAGCATGATTTCCACTAGTGTGGTTTTGTGAAAATTGGAAATCTCGTCAACTAAGTGGTGAATCTCGGTTCTTTGAAACTTCATGTCTTCAAAGGAAGAATATGAGATGTCTTTTTTATATTTTTGATGATTCAAACATTTTGATGTGTTTTAATTAAATTGCTTGGTTTTTCAGTCAGGGTGAAAGTGAATTGAGTTCATTCATGCCATGCGTGAGTACTGAGAAAGGAGCACTGAGCCCCTGTGTAATCAGCAAATGGGTGGTTTGGGAGACACACCCACCAAAGTAGCTCTGGTAGCACAGCAGTGCTATTATACAACTGCCAGTGCCAAAGCAGGAATAACTGAACAATTGTCACAGGTAAAGCATTTGACGTAAACCACTTTTTTTTTTGCCAGTATGGCAATAAGCAAGCAAGGTATCATGTGTGCACATTATAATTTAATACCAAATGCTGTATAAATATAAATACAACCATTTCTGGATAAAACTTTCTTGTATCTGTGATCTTTTTGGTGATAACTCTGTTCTTAATCTAATGTCCATTAAGGTTTGTTGTTTTTTAAGGGGTGGGGTTGCTATTTGTGGAGCCTGAGAACTTCAGGGAAGCAAAGCATAAAAAGTGTTTTCTGCTTGCTTTCTTAAACTCAACATCTTAGTAATCAGAGTAACCACCCACTTCTCTCTGTAAGCCTCCATATCTTATCTCACAGGTAAACTAAAATTTTCCAACAAAAACAAGAAAATCTCAAAAAGCAGACAACGCCATCTCTAAATAGGAGACATTTTAATGGACCAAAATGTGATTGACGTAACTGTTTGGACATTTTCTTTTCATCTCTCTAGTAAGCAAGTAGCCATTTAAGCAGTTGTTTGATCCAAAGCACCACATATTATAAGGACGATCCCCTTGGAGCAACTGACCGATGTTGCCTAAGGGTGTTAAGATACTTCAGTTTGCTATGCATTAGTTGAAGTGGTTTAAATGACCGTCTGTTATCTATTTAATCTAGTTAATATCTATTAACGTGCACAAATACATTCTTCTAATGCCAAGTCATGATGCTTAATCATAATTAGGTCAATCACAAATAATTAAATGATTCAAATGTAACAGTGAGAGCTGTATGTCATTCACAAGTAGTTTTCAATTTAGAGAAACTCCAAATTCTACATAATTTTTAAATGATAATACATGTTGTCTGTTTAATGAACTTCCCTAAATCCCTTAACTTCTTCAAAGGGCAAAATAGTACAAGAACACTGAGAGCCATTAAGGAAGTACAGAAGAGTTGTTGTGATATAAATATATTTCTGTTTTAATTTGGAACAATAAGACATTTATTAGTACTGGACTTTTTCTGCTGTAGCAGATTCGGAGACAGCTGCGTGCTGGAATATTTATGTGACCTCTGACAAAGCACTGCTGCTAAATTTAGTAACAGGTGAGCGAGCCATAAACAGCATTATTAGATTACTTGTGACAATTTATGCAGCATATCCCATGTCATGTGTTTGGAGTTCACAACCTTACAGTAACCTGCAGGCATGGAGTTTTATCATTAACACAACATCAATCTAATTGCCTAATATAGGCCTACTGCTTAATTAGATGAGCTTCTATTAACCCTGTTGAAGTATGAGGTAGTAATCTTCTAATGTTTTAGAATAGACATAAACAGTCTTCTTTTTAACCAAACAAGACAAATACCATGCTAGATTTACCTGACAAAGCAACACTTAACACGTGCAGAAACATGTGCAGAAATTTTTTTCTAGGCATGAGCTTCCTGTTTACCTTTTTTAGATATTGTATATGTTGTATTTATAGTTTCTGCATTTTACACTTATTTTTTACCCATACGCTTAGAAAAGAAAAACAACACAAGTTAAATTAATTTCAAGATTACAATGTTTTCCTGCAGATGAATGATTTGTTTAATTTTTTGTGTAGCCTAAAGTGTAACCTACAACTAGATTACTTAAAAACATGTTTGTAATAATGCCAAAAATAATGCCAATTTTTTTTTATGTCAGCACCAATTAATATGGATCATTTTTTGTCAATCTGCTAAAATGTGGTCACTCCATCAAAAGAAACTACTTAAATTACAATGTGAAACTATCAGGCAAAAAATAGGCCTCAATTTTGTGTTTTTGTTTTTTCATTAGAAGTTTTTTGCCTACTTCTTTACAGCAGCTTAAAGGGGTCATATGATGCGATTTCAAGTTTTCCTTTCTCTTTGGAGTGTTACAAGCTGATTGTGCATAGATAAGATCCCTGAAGTTGCAAAGACTAAAGTCTCAAAACCAAAGAGATATTCTTTATCAAAGTTAAGACTCTGCCACGCCCCCCTAAAACGGCTCATTCTAACACGCCCCCACATATCTACCCCACTATGTGGAAATATTTGCATAATCCCGCCGCAAATGTGCACGCAAAGAAAGAAGGCATGGTGTCAGTAACCGCAGTTAGTGTTGAAGCAACCATGTCAGGGAGACGCTGTGTGTTTCAGTGCGAAAGCAAAAGCACTTTATTTGGATCACTTACAACAGAACAGCAATGCATTTTATGGACGACCGTTTCGTGAACCTAGGAGAGGAGGTAATGCGGAATCAGCTACTGTCAGCGCGCGCGAGCAAGAGAGAGAGAGAGCGGTGTGTGTGTGTGCTGTCAGGGAGACGCTGTGTGTTTCTAGGCGAAAGCAGAAGCACTTTATTTGGCCTTCCGAAAGTAGATGCATTTAGGAATCTTTAAGATTACTTACAACAGAACAGCAATGCATTTTATGGACGACCGTTTCGTGAACCTAGGAGAGGAGGTAATTCTGACTTTGCTATGACAATCTGGCGCTTCTGAATCAGCTACTGTTTTGTTATTAGTTTAAGTATTTGCTATTGACTGTTCAAATGCGGAGTTTTGCGCATCGTGTGTGTGTGTGCGCTCGCGCACGCGTGTGTGTGTGTGTGTGTGTGTGTGTGCGTGCGCGCATGCGCGTGTGAGCGAGAGAGAGAGAGAGAGACAGGGTCACTCACAGTGGAGTCAGCTGTCTTAACCGTGGCTTGTGTACTGCAAACACATACCAGCATCATCACTGTGTCTGTCACACGACTCTGTTCCCCTTTTGGGCTTGAACTGATGGTAAAACTGACATTATTTACTGTCTTAACATTTATTTTGAAAGATGAAGCTCGCGATTATGGTAAGGGGCGTTACATTTCCGACGAGTGCTTGCGGTGTTCGGCCAATCACAATGCACTGGGTCAGCTGGCCAATCAGAGCAGACTACGCTTGTCGGAAGGAGAGACTTCGTATAAAACGAAGTGTTTGAGAGAAGCGGGGCATAGAGGACCTACAATAATGTACAGTATTTGAAAAATAATGTGTTTTTTGAAAATTAAAGCATGTCAACATATTCTGTTACACCAAATACACAAAATAATGATCTTTAAAAAAAGCATCATATGACCCCTTTAAAAAAAACTATACCATTTTGTATAAATAAAGAATTGTATAAATTTAAATATTACAAGTAAATTTGAACATCACAACATTACGAAAAAATGACAAAAAAGTACAATATGAATAAAAATGGATATTCATTTTGAGCCAAAGATCTGCTCAAGATT